ATGACCTAGTCTGTGTCGAGTGGACGTTAAACCCCATCTCTCTCTCTCTCTCTCTCTCTCTCTCTCTCTCTCTCTCATTTCGATTCAATTCATATGTTCATTTCTATTTGGGTTGTGCCAAAATACAGAATAATGTGAGAAGTTTTGGCACCTGGTGAATACAGGTGTTATAAAACCCCGACAAAAATAAACTGGCCAACACACAAAAAACAATAAAGGAAAACATTCGATTCAAATATAAACACATTTAATCTAAAATCTATTCAACTTCTGTAATAAACAGAGAAATATGTGTGCCAAGTCGACATTTTTTTTCCCCCACATAGCCTACGTTATTTACGCGGATATTCTGACATGACGTCATATAAAATATATATAAAGGTCAAAGTTTGACCTGAAGACCTTCTCGCCTATATCAGCCTTTCATCTATATTATAATACAATACCTGACATTTACATACAAAATATATTACGTGTTTATCATATATATCAGGGGCGTGTCCAAGAATTTGAGCAGCGGGGTGGCCAAGAGACAACGTCAAGTTTGGCATAAGATCAGGGGGGACTACCCGCGAATTTGATCAAATTAAAGAAGCTTTGAAACACTATTTCTGCTCAATTAGGTGCATAAAGGGTTAAATTTTAGTGAGCCATAACGGCGCCATTTAAATGAATGCAGAAGAGAAATAATTCTGTATGCAACCCTCTGGACACGTGCCTGTAGGTCTGTGTATTTATTGCGTTCAATCGTGATATTAGAGACTTTTGGCAAGCGTAAATGTCTGGTCCGTATCGCGTATCCGTATGGATTTTGCCTGTGACGTCATCAATGTGTGTGTATTTCTCATACGTGATACGACACACGGATACGGCAGCACGTATCGAACAGCTTTCATACGGAAAAGGTCCGTATAACATTGTCGTGTCTTTTTGCTACTTTTAGACGCTGAAATGTTGTATCATAGCGTTTTTATGAATCTTTGTGTATTCTAGAACACGAAGGTGTATATTTGATGTGATTTTAACCATGATGGTTGATCTACGTGCTAAATTTAGGGAGGCGGAACCTTGCATATCTGAAAATGATTTTATTCTGTGGTAAAGGGGTATAAACTTTATGAAATGATACATTAGTGAAATCAAAACTTACAGTCGAGTCGAAGTCGAAGGTTTTTAATAATATTCGACATCAATTTTTTTTAATAGCTCAGCGACTGTCGAGGGACTTCATTCCCTCCGTGAAATTGTAGACTATAATAGGCACTTGACTAGTACTGATGGTGATCTTGGTTGATATCCGCCATCATGCTGTAATAGAACTAAGTTGGGCTCAGCTACTCATGCGTACGCGACGCAAAAATCTGCCAAAACTCTAAAACTACTTTGACGCAACGTATCACGTATACGATACGGATACGTGATACGGATGGGAAAATTCCGCTTGCCAAAAGTCTCTATTTATAATAGCAATCTTATTCTTGTTGAAAAGAATTTGAAAGTCCTATTTTTACTGCATACACTATACAGTGGGCTATGTGTTAAAAATTTTCCCGTACAACGGTGTTTCGTTCGGATGGGACGAAAAAATGAGGTCTCGTGTACACATTGGCGTGCACGTAAAAGATCCCTTGACAGTCGGAATTCGATATAAGATTAAGCTGTAGTGCCGCTGTCCGGGCAAACTGTCTCTCACTGTATGGCGTATGCCCGTCTTCATTAGTCCAGTCGGAGCAGAACAGTAGGATGTGAGATACTTGTCCAGGGGCCCGGCGGTATATTGAGTAATGTTTTCAAAATATATTGTTGGTATAAATCAATAACAAAAAATAACCTGTTACTTGATTGTCAAGTAAAAGAAAACCGGTGAAAACCCAAAAGGTTAGACAGGCGACCCTACTCCTTGTCACCGAAACCACGCCACTTGACTCAATGGCAGACCTAACGTTAAATCATTCGGCCTGTCACCCCTTTCCCCAATTCAATAGTGACATAAGTAATATAAGTGACATAAGTAATATTAGTAATATACGTGACATAAGTAATATTAGTAATATAAGTTACATAAGTAACATACGTGACATAAGTATTATTAGTAATATAAGTAGCATAAGTAATATTAGTGATATAAGTGACATAAGTAATATTAGTTACATAAGTGACATAAGTATTATTAGTAATATAAGTGTCATAAGTAATATTAGTAATATAAGTTATATAAGTTACATAAGTAATATAAGTGACATAAGTAATATAAACGACATAAATATAAGTGACATAAGTAATATTAGTAATATAAGTGGCATAAGTAATATTAGTAATATAAGTGACATAAGTTACATAAGTAATATAAGTGAAATAAGTATTATTAGTAATATAAGTGACATAAGTAATATAAGTGCCGTATTAGTAATATAAGTGACATAAGTAATGTAAGTGACATACGTAATATTAGTAATATAAATGACATAAGTATTTTTAGTAATATAAGTGACATAAGTAATATACACCAAGTTTACTGTCTAGAATTTAATTCATAATACAATGTTGAAAGAGGGCGTTGATAATCTCTTTGTTAAACTATGATCCTGAACTCTTTATGTTAAAATATTTATTGTCAAATATTTTAGAATTTATTAAAGTGGTAATTACTGTCTATAATACAAAACTTAAATAATGAAACCCCAACATAAAGGTTATATTATATATGGAGTTTTAAAAGCAGGAATGGGTTTTAACGTCCTACTTTTCTGATCCATCCGGGCTAATGAAAACGGACATACGCCATACAGTGTGCTATGAAGAAAATTTGACCTCAGTAGCAGCGCTAAAACTATCTTTTATTTCGAATTCCAACTATCAAGAACGATTGTGTGGATAACTTTGAACAGCCATGCCAACATTCAAAGGGGAACAACTCTTTTTAAGCATGCAAATACACCAACGCTGTTCATTTACGCCAGATCGTTTTATTGCTCAGAAAATAATATAGTTGCATTATTTGATATTACCCTAATATTTATATATTTAAATTTGGCAGCTCTGCCTGTCTTACTGTCGTTCCCTGTTATTGTCCCTCTCATGACAGTGCTTATCGTTACTGGGAGCCGTGGTAGCTCATTGCGTATGTTGGCTCGCTAACCTGGAGGTCCGATGTGCGATCCATGCGTTGGCCGCGAAATTTCATCGGGATAATCGGGTTGGCAAGGGACAACGTATAGTCGATCGTGTGAGACGAAAAACCCAGGTCCCGATGGACGTTAATAGCGACACAGTTAAAATTAGCTCGGGTAACAACGTCATTTATAGCTGTGCTAATTTTACCCAAATTCCTCACCCCAACACCGTCATATACACTGACGTAAAACGAAATCTGACAAACGGTGATTATATAATATTCTAATGTAAGGTAATTCATATTGTACTGTTAGAAGCCATTTGTCAGGATATATAGACCTATAACTCATCCGTTTGAATAAATCTCTGTAATATGTGCCGTGATTACTTTGGGCACTATTAAGACATTGTGATGATAAGAGAGAGGGAAAGGGGGAGAGAGAGAGAGGGAGGGAGAGAGAGAGAGAGAGGAGAGAGAGTTTAAGGTCCACTCGACACAAACTAGGTCATTTCGGGGCTATATTTATCAATAAAAGTTATAATATCAGGTAGAAATATTCAATATTTTAATTAATTCTAGAAGAATAACATATTTGAAATAAAATATATATATGTAGGATTTTTTGGTGTGTGAATTATAAAGAAGTATTTTAAGAACTCCCATCCCCATCTCCTTAAAAATATTCGGATATTAACACAAATTCAAACCGACTCCTTAGTCACGGGATACTCCACCACCCCTACCCCCACCCCGTCTTATTAAGACAAAATCGCATTGTTATGGGCTACAGAAACAAAATCAATCTATCTCGAAGTTTAGTCACTGTAGGTATCGTGCACTTGGCATAAAGTATTGTTACCCAAACGTATTAATTAATACAGACATCAATTTAGGAAGGAAGCACTTTGACACTTCCTCAATCTCCATTCATGAATTATCTGATATAAGCACTATTATAAGAAAATAAAGCTAATTCATAAAATGTATCCAACTCCAGACAAAAAAAATTATTAACTTAAATCAAGGTTTTGCGTCGCAACGATCTCCCATATTGTCAGATTTTCAAATTTCTACGATGCAAAAATTAAAATGTATAATTTGAATTAGGCCTACCTTGTGATTTCCACCGTCTTAACCTTAAACACATATTCCATTAGTATAGATATATAGATATAGAAGGTATGTTCCACCTGTGTGACTATAATATGATTGACAGGTTGTACCTGAGTGATGAATATTACAGTATAAGAGTGACAGGTATGTCGTGTATGGTAATTAATATGTTACTATACCTGTAGACATATGTAGGCAAGGATACCTGTAATTAACTTAGGATATATATTAAAATCTCCATCAACTTTAATTAGTCTTTGCTTGATAAAGAAGAGGGAACCCTCGTGGACACGTCGAAAGAAATAAACTTTAAAGTAACTGTGTCATATGTTAGTATATTAATCTTATATGAATTATTTAAAGATTTAACTCTTTCAATAAAATCATCAGCACCTTTAATTAATTGTTGCTTGATAAAGACGAGGGAACAGAAATAAACTTTAAAGGGGCATTAGGTAAGGTTAGATAAATAGCTGACAGTTAAAATATAGATAATAAAATGGGAATATGCTGAAAATTTCAGTCAAACTGCTTCACTATGAATCTAGATATTAGCGATTCAATTTTAGGCTAGCCGTTGTTACGATAATAAACAATGTCTTGATTATCAAATTTTACGGTTATTTTCATCCACAACAAAACGTATTCAAATCCACAAAATATCGAAGGCTAACGATGGTATCGAGAGTTGATTATGGTCTGGATAAGTAAATTAATGTCTAATTAATAATTCAGATAACATTTAAGGCCTAAAGAGATACCTGAAACTTACCTTTTGCATTATGCATGTTTAAGTAACTTGTATTCCATATAATGGTGCCATGCGTGTCAGTTAATTAATCTTACATTAATTATTTAGGTGGACATATTTCACTGTGACATATGGTCCACCCCGGCACCACTAATAACTGGCAAGAGTGGGGTTTTTTTTGTAGTTTTTTTTGGTTGGTTTTTTTTTTTGATATGAGGTGTAAAATGCCCATAATAATATCTATAACATATCTTTTCCTTGTAGGTCACATTACTGAAGTATTCCGCTTGTATGCCGTTGCTACACATTTTCGAGAATTGACTAAAGTTTCATCAAGACAACGCTTGCCAGATCCACAAGCGCGTAGCACCAGACAAGTGCGTGCTTGATAAACCCGAAGGTAGCCGGTGTCCAGGATCATACTAATATTTTATCCTGGACGGAGCCAACCAGTACCTGGGCTGAGGGGGCGAGGATTGGGGCCCTGGGCAGTAATGGATATTGGGGGCCCCGGGACTGGTAGGTACCAACAGATTTTCGGGGGCCCAGGAAATCGCTGCCTAAATTGTCTCAGATGCACTGAAATTAATCCTAATTTTAAAAAAAAATTCCTGGAGGAAAACACCCCACGAACAATTTGAACAAACAACAATGGGGCCCCGGCACAGTTGGTATGTCCCGGGCCCCCCACAAGGTTAGTCCGGCACTGGGTGTCCTACCACCCGAAAACCGCGGCCCCTTTAAAAAAAACGTACGATCGTACATGGACCAGGATGTGGGATGAAATTCAAAAATCTAATTTACGAAATCCATGCAGAATATTCCACAGAAAAAGCGTGCCAATTTTCATGTCGATCGGACTTGAATTAACGAAGCCTTAGGTTTTTTCGAAGAACAAGATGACGATGAGTAGCGGTGTTTAAAAAAGATGGCACAAATGATATTTCCTGGGAAAATATTGGAATGTAGAAAACGACATACTTAATCTAAACATATGCATGAACTCAATGACCTTATAGATTTCATACCAGAAAAAATGTCGGTAATGATGGATGGACTGAATGTTTACATTCTTTGATCAAATGGTCAAGTGGTCGACACCTATCAATAATGAACATGTCGAATTGTTTTACTTAGCTTTCAATAATATTTGTATTTTTCATTGTTTTTATATCGTTAAGTCTATTCATAGAGATAGTAAAACTGCGAACGGAACTTGAGAATGCAAGAATTATTTCGTTTCGTAAAGACAAGTAAAACACAATTTTGAACTATAAAACACGAAACGGAATAGAATCTGTTTTTTAATGAGATTGCTATAGCCTTGCAATATAACTACACCTAATTTCAATAGTAGGTCGTAGCGCAGCTGTTCGGGCTAATTTTCATCATAGCACATTGTATGGCGTATGCCTGTCTTCATAAGCCCAGTTGAAGCAGAAAAGTAGGACGTTAAACCCCGTTTCATTTCATTTTATCCCTTTACTTCGTTCAACGCTGAATAATAAAATAAAGTATCAGCATCTGGTGTATAATTAAAGTTTCTGATATTTCATGCAGCCATTTTTATATCTCCACGAGCAATAAAAACTCTATAATAAACGACAAGAGCATCGTTATAAACCATAACAAGCCCTCAGTTATGTTCGGCAAAACGAGCACCTGCAGAAATAGTCAGCGTCAATCATTAAAGTAGTAAGTTAATTGTTCGGACAGTAACTGACCAATCTAACATCTGTTTATTCATGGAAACATTTTGTTGAAAGATGATTCTGCCTTCATGTCCCGCTATCAATCACAGCATCTCCTGTCAGACGCACGCGGTCCGCTTTGCACGTGCTTTGTTTTATGGGAATACTATTTCTATCTGAGGAAATCTTGATACTTCCGTATCTTCAAGAAGGAAAACCCTAGAATTTTGTAAAGAGGACCGTCTGTTATCTTCTACACCTTAAAAACAAATAAGACTCGGTCTAGAACAACCCCAACGAGTTTGGTCAAGTTGCGATCATAGACAATTAATAGCGGTTGCAAAGAGGAGGATAGAAGAGACCGTGACGACTAGACCTCGTATTGTGCTAAAACCACAGAGTAAAAACGTATTACCCTAACCAATTAGCTCATATCTTCTTAATAGTACCAGTTAGCTCCTGATAGCACCAGTTATCTCTTTTAGGGCCAGTGAGCTCCTGATAGAACTTGTTAGCTCCCAATAGACCTAGTTAGCTCACAATAGGACTAGTTGACACCCAATAGACCCAGTTAGCTCACAATAGGACTAGTTGACACCCAATAGACCCAGTTAGCTCACAATAGCACTAGTTAACTCCCAATAGCATAAGTTAGCTCCAAATAGCACTAGTTAACTCCCAATAGTATAAGTTAGCTCCAAATAGCACTAGTTAGCCCGTCAAATTATAAGTTAGCTCACAATAGCATTAATTAGCCCCTTAAAGTATAAGTTAGCTCATAAAAGCGCTAGTTAGCTTCTAACAGCATTAGTTAGCTATTATCAGCACCAGAGCTACCAATACTTGCTCGTATTAAGTAAACTTACTTGCAAATTTAATAAGTTCTTCCTCTGTGAAGGACCTTCTATTGACGGACGGTGCACCGAATCGTGTTCTATAACGTTCATAATGGGTTCGTCTCTCTTTGATTTGCCGTTTATGACGTAACTTCTGGTGAATTCTCTCCAATAAATGCTCGTGCACGTAAAAGATCCCTTGACAGTCGGAATTCGATATAAGATTAAGCTGTAGTGCCGCTGTCCGGGCAAACTGTCTCTCACTGTATGGCGTATGCCCGTCTTCATTAGTCCAGTCGGAGCAGAACAGTAGGATGTGAGATACTTGTCCAGGGGCCCGGCGGTATATTGAGTAATGTTTTCAAAATATATTGTTGGTATAAATCAATAACAAAAAATAACCTGTTACTTGATTGTCAAGTAAAAGAAAACCGGTGAAAACCCAAAAGGTTAGACAGGCGACCCTACTCCTTGTCACCGAAACCACGCCACTTGACTCAATGGCAGACCTAACGTTAAATCATTCGGCCTGTCACCCCTTTCCCCAATTCAATAGTGACATAAGTAATATAAGTGACATAAGTAATATTAGTAATATACGTGACATAAGTAATATTAGTAATATAAGTTACATAAGTAACATACGTGACATAAGTATTATTAGTAATATAAGTAGCATAAGTAATATTAGTGATATAAGTGACATAAGTAATATTAGTTACATAAGTGACATAAGTATTATTAGTAATATAAGTGTCATAAGTAATATTAGTAATATAAGTTATATAAGTTACATAAGTAATATAAGTGACATAAGTAATATAAACGACATAAATATAAGTGACATAAGTAATATTAGTAATATAAGTGGCATAAGTAATATTAGTAATATAAGTGACATAAGTTACATAAGTAATATAAGTGAAATAAGTATTATTAGTAATATAAGTGACATAAGTAATATAAGTGCCGTATTAGTAATATAAGTGACATAAGTAATGTAAGTGACATACGTAATATTAGTAATATAAATGACATAAGTATTTTTAGTAATATAAGTGACATAAGTAATATACACCAAGTTTACTGTCTAGAATTTAATTCATAATACAATGTTGAAAGAGGGCGTTGATAATCTCTTTGTTAAACTATGATCCTGAACTCTTTATGTTAAAATATTTATTGTCAAATATTTTAGAATTTATTAAAGTGGTAATTACTGTCTATAATACAAAACTTAAATAATGAAACCCCAACATAAAGGTTATATTATATATGGAGTTTTAAAAGCAGGAATGGGTTTTAACGTCCTACTTTTCTGATCCATCCGGGCTAATGAAAACGGACATACGCCATACAGTGTGCTATGAAGAAAATTTGACCTCAGTAGCAGCGCTAAAACTATCTTTTATTTCGAATTCCAACTATCAAGAACGATTGTGTGGATAACTTTGAACAGCCATGCCAACATTCAAAGGGGAACAACTCTTTTTAAGCATGCAAATACACCAACGCTGTTCATTTACGCCAGATCGTTTTATTGCTCAGAAAATAATATAGTTGCATTATTTGATATTACCCTAATATTTATATATTTAAATTTGGCAGCTCTGCCTGTCTTACTGTCGTTCCCTGTTATTGTCCCTCTCATGACAGTGCTTATCGTTACTGGGAGCCGTGGTAGCTCATTGCGTATGTTGGCTCGCTAACCTGGAGGTCCGATGTGCGATCCATGCGTTGGCCGCGAAATTTCATCGGGATAATCGGGTTGGCAAGGGACAACGTATAGTCGATCGTGTGAGACGAAAAACCCAGGTCCCGATGGACGTTAATAGCGACACAGTTAAAATTAGCTCGGGTAACAACGTCATTTATAGCTGTGCTAATTTTACCCAAATTCCTCACCCCAACACCGTCATATACACTGACGTAAAACGAAATCTGACAAACGGTGATTATATAATATTCTAATGTAAGGTAATTCATATTGTACTGTTAGAAGCCATTTGTCAGGATATATAGACCTATAACTCATCCGTTTGAATAAATCTCTGTAATATGTGCCGTGATTACTTTGGGCACTATTAAGACATTGTGATGATAAGAGAGAGGGAAAGGGGGAGAGAGAGAGAGGGAGGGAGAGAGAGAGAGAGAGGAGAGAGAGTTTAAGGTCCACTCGACACAAACTAGGTCATTTCGGGGCTATATTTATCAATAAAAGTTATAATATCAGGTAGAAATATTCAATATTTTAATTAATTCTAGAAGAATAACATATTTGAAATAAAATATATATATGTAGGATTTTTTGGTGTGTGAATTATAAAGAAGTATTTTAAGAACTCCCATCCCCATCTCCTTAAAAATATTCGGATATTAACACAAATTCAAACCGACTCCTTAGTCACGGGATACTCCACCACCCCTACCCCCACCCCGTCTTATTAAGACAAAATCGCATTGTTATGGGCTACAGAAACAAAATCAATCTATCTCGAAGTTTAGTCACT